ATGAAGCCATTGCTCCAGGGCAGCGGAAAACAAGCCTGCTCCCTCCTCCTTATGACTTCCCTTCACATATTTATATATGGCCCTCATCATGTCTCCTCTCAGCCTTCTCTTCTTCAGGCTAAACATGCCCAGCTCTTTAAGCCACTCCTCATAGGGCTTGTTCTCCAGATCCTTGATCATTTTAGTCACCCTCCTATGGACACATTCCAACTTGTCAACATCTCCCTTCAATTGTGGTGCCCAAAACTGGACACAGAATTCCAGGTGTGGTCTGACCAAGGCAGAATAGAGGGGTAGTATGACTTCCCTGAAGAGAGGGCAGAGAGGTCCACTTCTGAACAGCTCTCACAGTTAGGAAGTTCTTCCTCATGTTCAGGTGGAATCTCCTTTCCTGTAGTTTGAAGCCATTATTCTGGGTCCTAGTCTCCAGGGTAGCAGAAAACAAGCTTGCTACCTCCTCCCTATGACTATCCCTATCACAGTAGGGATCATGTAGTCCTGCAGATAAGGACTGCAGGTCCTAGTAACCCTAAGCAAGACACATAATAATGAGGAATATTAAAAAATATAATCAAAGCAGAACGGAAAATGAATATATTACAAGCCACATTACTTTTTAAGGTAATAAGAATGTAACAATGTCTTTTAAAAAATAATAATGTTATTTTTTATTTTCTACTGTGAAATTTTTGGATCGTTTGGAGAGATTTTTTAATTTTTTGGGAAGCAAAAATAAGAAAATTATCTACAAAGTAACAGTAAATGTAACACTTTTAAAACAACAGCTCATGTTAATAAATCTTTTTTTAAAAAAAATTAAAAGACAAGTAGTTTTTCAAGAGACAGTTCCATGCTCTGAATAAGAAATGCCAAAGATAACAACAACAACAAATACAACAACAAAGAAAATATAGGAATTGAAATGTGAAATTATGACATGAGGGAAGACTGCCAATACTTACTGAGCTTACAGAAAAGGTGGTGAAATCACAGATTTCACGGTGGCACAAATTAAACTGAAAGTGTGTTATATTTTCAACCACTAAAAGCAGAGCTAGTATGTGGTTTGAGTTGCAGACAAGCAGAGTCACTCAACACAATCAAAATGAATTGGCCTTGACAGTAATGAAGCAGAAATATTATCTCTCTAGGGATCCATCTACATTGTAAAACTAATGAAATCTGACATCACTTTAGCTGTCATGGCTCAATGCTGTGGGAGTTGTAGTTTTACAAGATCTATAAGAACACTGGTGTTTTATCAAACTTCAAATCCCAGGATCTACCATATATAGTCCCACACGCCCTGATAAGGCAGCATAGTTAAGACTGCCATAGGCAGTTGGAAGCTTCACTTGAGGTTGCATATGCTGCATCTATCTGTCATTATCTCTCCCTGAAGGTGAATGCCACCTACATTAGAAGCAAAATGTGGCCCATAAGCTCAAGTCCTTAATTCTTTCCAGAAACCCTGTAGAACAGGTGCTGCTACAAGGACCCAAGAAAGTTATAATAATTATCAGGCAAGTAACAACTAGAAAGATTTCTGAAGGAGGTCAGGGCTAAAGCCAATTTTGGTTCTTCTAAGGAATTCCAAGAGGAAAAAAAGCAAAAATATTTATATTTCCATTTCCATGTGGGCTTCCTTGGTGGGGCTCGTTCAAAAGGGGAAAGGAACATTGTGAGATCTGGAGGAAAAATCATTTATTTCGACTACAGAGCACATGTTATGAAGACACCACACCTTGACTGATTGCCTAAGGAAACTACTACCTATAGAGGCCAATCCTTTCTTCCCCAATCCTCTTTTTTTGTTGCTGAAAAACAAAACGGAGGCCTCTTTTGGGGATAAGAGAGATGTGCTTAGCAGGTCTAATTTTAGGGAAAGGCAACACAAAGTGGGAGGCTTCACATAAGTGAGTCAACGCAGCAACCTGATTCCCAAGATTTAACATGAATTACTTGGCATGAGAACAGTGAAGATTGTAAGCTCTGTCGAGTCTGCTAGTGTTCCTTCTCCCACATACACAAATTCACCACATGTTCATGACCCGCAACTTAATCACCAAGTGAGGGGAAGATAGACAGAGCTGGCATCAACAACCACGATCCAAAGACTTAAGCCCCTTCCACACAGTTGGATAAAATCCCACATTATCTGCTATGAACTGGGATATATGGCAGTGTGGACTCAGCCCAGTTCAAAGCAGATTTTCAGCCTTGATATTCTGGATTACTGTATATACTCGAGTATACACCTAGTTTTCAAGCCTTTTTTAGGCTTAAAAATCTCCCCTCGGCTCATACTCGAATCAAGGTTATTTACTATTTTACTCTGTTGTTGTTGTTGTTATTACATTTGTTATTTTACTCTATTATTACTGTTATTATCACATTTCCATTATTTTACCCTATTATTTTTATTACATTTATTATTTTACTCTCACATTTACACTGAAGAAGGTTAGAATAATGATTTAATTAGAGTTGGACAGTTTTATCTTAAATTATAATTTATGTAAATACTCAAAAACATTTAACCTACGGTTGCCTCAATTAATATAATTTTATTGGCATCTATGTTTATTCTGATATGTACCAATCGCAGCTGCATTTCTCACCCTCGGCTTATACTTGAGTCAATACATTTTTCCAGTTTTTGTGGTAAAATTAAGTGCCTCAGCTTTTATTCTGGTTGGCTTATACTCAAGTATATACAGTTTATGGCTGTGTGGAAGGACCCTTAGAGTTTCCCTACCCATCCTCTTCAAAATCTAACCTACAACTCGAAGGAGGCACTGTTTATGTCTCCAAATGATACCATACCAGAAGTACTGCAGGAAAGTAAATGGCAGCTAGGCGCAGTTGCCCACCACCACAAATGCTGTCACCCTATGGTAGATAATCACAGCCTTCTAACATAGGAAGTAAGCAACACTTCACAACACTTTACCTAAAGGCCCCACAAACTTAGAGCTCTACCAAGAAGTAGAGATGGATTATCTTTGAAGGTAAGACTTTTCACAAGCTGAATAGAACCCCCATGCCTTAAGCCAGTGGTTCTCAACCTGTGGGTCCCCAGGTGTTTTGGCCTACAGCCCCCAGAAATCCCAACCAGTCTACCAACTGTGAGTATTTCTGGGAGTTGAAGGTCAAAACATCTGGGGACCCACAGGTTGAGAACCACTGGCTTAAGCTGTACATCCATTCATGTTCAGAATGCTGGGTTAGTTGGGTCTTATACTGTGTTCCATGTTCTTAGCAATTATTGGGTTTCTTCACCATACACTGAAACACACATTTCAAGCACATGTTTTTAGCCATTTCCAACCTGTATTTAATGAAAATATGTAACTCTAATTTGACTTTTGACTCAAGTGATTTGATATCTTTTAACCTGTTCGTATTATTTGGGCCAATTTGGACCACAGCCTCTCCTTCTTGACGTCAACATTCCAGATGGCTACAGTGAACTAAAATGGTGCCATGCACAATCAAATCCTTAGGCATTTTCAATATTTATGCTGCTTACCCTTCATCGCAGTCCTAAGATTGTGTAACCATGTTTTTGCAAGCTCTTGACTCCACTAGAAGGAGCTCTCTTTAGTAAAAGAATGAGCAATAGGTTGGCTTCAAATGCTTTTGAACTGTTCTTCCCATCATACCTCAGCACTGGCTATCTGACTATAGCTGATGAGAGCTGCAGTTCAACAACATCTGGAGAACGACGCATTTCCCAGCCCTGCTTTAACATCACCTGAGCTGAAATAGCATACCTTGCAAACCTCTGGATAGAAACATTTAATTTAACTGCATGGCAGCCTAATAAACAATGTAAAAAATGTCATTTGCATAACAAAAGGAAATATATTCCCAGCCTAAAACAAATCCATTCTCAACTCTGCTGACAGGTTTTCCTCATACAATACCAACTTTAGGCATAATTTTCTCCTTATATATGTATTTTTGTCAGTTGCTGCAAAAACAAAATTGTGGCACCTTAACACAAAAATGAAAAATTTGTAGTGTGGGAGCATATCCTATAGCAACGCCAAGGTCTGCCTCATAGCATAGCAAAACAACTTCCAAGATGATAAGATCATGTCCCATCCCCCCCCCCCCGCCACCTTTCAAATACTGATGAATATAATTTAAAAATTCAAAAGGTCATACAAATATAATAATCATAGAGGACGGCTACATGGCATTTGTCTATCTCAGGCATGGGCAAACTTTGGCTGTCCAGGTGTTTTGGACTTCAACTCCCACAATTCCTGGTCTCAGGCCCTTTCCTTTTCCTCCTCAGCCAAGCGGCTGAGGAGGAAAAGGAAGGGGCCTGAGACCAGGAATTGTGGGAGTTGAAGTCCAAAACACTTGGAAGGCCAAAGTTTGCCCATGCCTGTTCTATCTCATCCATACTGACCTGGACACCAATGGCTGTAATGGTGCCATCAAACTTGCATGCATTCAACACACACAAAGAAAGCAAATTTCATATGGGATTAGTCTCAACCTTTTCCAAAGGAGAGGAAGAAAACCTTGGACAATCAAGGAGGTTCTTTGGCTGGAAAAGCAGGAGCCATGGTAGTGTGAAAAAAGAAAAACTCTACCATTTTAGCTTAATCTCAGAGCAAAGGTTGGGGCAGCACGCACAATATGGTCTTTATGCCATTTCCACCCATTCTAGTGCAAAGTCTATACTACAACTACTGATTCAAAATCAACCACAGATGAAAGGATATCAGCTAATTGCTTTCTAAAACAAAACAGCAAGAAAAATATCTGTACAATATTAAGTGTTGTTTAGGCAGTAGCTCTCCATGAGCAAAAAGTTTTGCAAGTGTGATCAGCCTCCTTTCCTTAAAATGAACCTTCAAACTTAAGACACATTTTTTGGAATTGAGGTAAAAGAGCTTGAGTGAGACACTGGAAGTTTGACTGAGTAGCTTCAAAAGCCCTTCATATTAAGATTTGGGTCTAAACTCACAGTGATAGCTTACCTGACACAGAAACTCTCATGACTGCCTCCAAAGGCCTGTTGTTATCCAAGGCCCTGCTCAGGCGTAGCTCTCCAGTGCTGTGGTTCAGAAGCACCAGCTTTAGCTCATTGCCTTGCTCAAAACTATAGGAAAGTGTATCAGAGACATCAGGGTCAGAGGCTGGGATCCTGCCAATCACACCGGTGGGGAAACTGCTGGACTTGTTTGTGATGTAGTTGTTGAAGATGATCTCAAAGTTCTTCAAGATGGGAATGTTGTCATTTTTATCCCGCAAACGGACATGCACTGTAGCCCGGCTTACCAACGGAGCAGAAGTAGCTTGGACCACAATGACATACTCAGACTTGGTCTCATAATCCAAATCCATCAATGCTGTCAGTTCTCCTGAGAAAATATCAAGTTGGAAGACCTCAGGGATGTTACCTTCCACTATCTGGTACATGATCTGAGCATTGGTGCCTTCATCTGGATCACTGGCAGTGATCCGGGCCACCACTAACCCAATTGGGCTGTTCTCCTCAACAAAGATATCAAACTCATCCTGTTCAAAGACTGGAGGATTATCGTTGACATCAAGAACAGTTATATGGACCTCAATAGGTGTCCTCATGGCCGGTACACCCTTATCAACTGCATATGCCCTAAGTTCATACAAAGGGACATTTTCTCTGTCCAACCTACGCAAAGTCCTAACAATGCCAGAGGTGGATTCAATGATAAAGTCTCCATCACCATCATCCCCACCCTGAAAGGTGTAGAACACCCTTCCATTCAGCCCAGAGTCTCTATCTGTGGCAGAAACCTGCAGAACACTAGTGAACGCTGGGACATCCTCATATACAGAACCTTGGTAGTTATCTCTTAAGAACTGAGGTGCATTGTCATTTACATCATTGACTAGTATTTCTAAGTAGGTGGTGTCTGATTTTTGTGGGATGCCATTGTCCCGGGCAGTAATTGCCAATGTGTAAGACACCTGATCTTCATAGTCTAGATCCATCTGGGTGGTAACAGCACCAGTGTCCATATCAATCTTGAACTGAGGAATGCTGTCCTCCATGAAGTAAGTGATACGGGCATTCTCCCCTGTGTCTTCATCAGTAGCACTAATGATCACGACCGTGGTACCCACCGGCCTGTCCTCATTGATGTTAACAGTATAATGGGAGCTCTGGAAGACTGGCCGGTGGGTGTTGGCATCAGTCACATTAACAAAGACCTGGGCAGTATCAAGCCGAGTGCCATCTGAAGCCGTAATTATAAGTAGATAATAGCGCTCTAATTTGTAATCCAAGGGAAGGGCCAAGGTAATAAGGCCACCACCACTCTGGCTGGTTATGGAGAAGCGGTTGCGGGTATTCCCATTGGTGATCTGGTAAGTGATGACACTGTTGACATCCCGGTCAATGGCAGAGACCGTAAGGACACTGGTGCCCACAGCAGCATCTTCATTGAGACGCATGCTGTATTCCTTTTGAGTGAACTCAGGATTGTTGTCGTTGACATCCAGAATGGTAATACTGACACTGGCTGAAGAGGTCATGGGGGGGCTTCCATGGTCTCGGGCCTCCACCCCAAAATTATAGAAGTCCACATTCTCTCGGTCCAACTCAGAGGCCACCAAAATCCAGCCTGTGTTGTTATTGATAGAAAAGGGAAAGTCAGGGCTTATGTCAACCAGAGCGTACTCCAGTCGAGCATTCTCCCCTGAATCTGCATCAATGGCTTGGATGTGGATGACAGAGTAGCCCACAGGCACGTTCTCCAGCACTGTGGACTGGAAAGGGGTGCTGACAAAGATTGGGCTGTTGTCATTCACATCCAGGACCTGGATAGCCACCAGTCCACTGATATTTGAAAGCGGAGGTCTTCCTCCATCCTGGGCCCGAATGCGCAAGGAGTACTCCTTATTCATCTCATAGTCCAACTGGCTGACGACATCAATGTTGCCCGTCTGGGCATCAATGTAAAACTGTCCCCGGGTGTTGCCGCTCATGATGCTGTAATGCACCAGGGCATTGCTGCCTTTGTCCCGGTCTGTTGCATTGACCCGTAGGACATGGGTGTTGGAAGCCACGTTCTCGGGCACCTGCACAATGTAGCGTTTCTCACTAAACTGCGGCGAGTTGTCGTTGTCGTCCTCCACCGTGATATGGATGGTGGCCGTGGTGCTGCGCGGCCCGGGATCCCTACCCTGGTCATTGGCTTCCACAATCAGCTGGTAGGACTCCACTGCTTCCCGGTCCACGAGGCCATTGGTGCGGATGACGCCCGACTTGGGGTCAATCTCAAAGATCTTGTTGGCCCCGCGGCCATTCAGGAGATGGTAGAGGATGTTGGCATTGGGGCTGGCATCCCCGTCCGTGGCTCGCACCGTCAGCACCTCATAGCCCACCTCCAGATTCTCCCGCATGCTCTCTTTGTACTCCTGCTGCTCGAAGATGGGGTCGTGGTCATTGGTGTCGGCAACAGTGACAGAGAGGGTGGCCATGGCCGTGCGGCGCGGCACACCATGGTCTGTTGCCGTCACCCGGAAGACGTGGCTGCTCTTGGTCTCCCGGTCCAGCTCCTCCGCTGTAGTCACCGCACCGCTCCGGGGATCGATGGCAAAGAAGCTGTTGGAGCGGCTGTCGAAGAGGGCGTCCATGGAGTAGTCCAGGCGGCCCCACTCACCCTCGTCCGGGTCCACCGCCTTCAGCACGATCACAGGGGTACCGGCAGGGCGGTTCTCCGGCACCGAGACCTGGTAGGTGGGCACTTGGAACTGGGGGCTGGCATTGGCGTTACGCTTCTTCCGCAGCCGGTCTCCGGGTGCTTCGGGGTTACGCTCTGGGCGCATCTCAGGGAGGGAAGAAGCCAGGCTCAGGTCCCAGTGGACAAAGGTCTCCTCGGTCTCTTCTCCGTCTTGGTGGCAAAGCAGCCCCAAGTGTGTAGGGCGCCCTGTCCGGAGGCACAGCGCCCAGGGCGGGAGGAGGACCTCTCCGGGCTGGATTGGGGTCCCCTTGACCCCTCGCAGGCGGCACTTCAAGGGGCCTCCTCCTCCTCCCCACCAGGCCCCGGGCGGCAAAGGCACGCGGGAGGCAGGCTCCAAGCAGAGTCCCCGGGGCCGCCCCCGCCGCAGCCTCCCGCCGGGCTCCCGATGGGAGAGGACCAAGCGGCTGAGCAGCGAGGGCGCCCCGTCCTGCCCTCCGGGTCCCGGCAGGTGCGCCCAGAGGCCGCGAGTGGCGCCAGGTGAGCGGCAGAGCCACGCGGAAGGCAGCGGCGTGGCGGGGAATGCGGCGGGAGCCTCCGCAGGGCTCCGGGCGGCGCAGGGCGGCGGAGGGCTCTGGCCTCGAGGGCAGGCGGGGATGCCCAGCGCCAGCAAGAGCAGCACGGCCCGGCCCGGGGCGCAGCCGCACCAGCCGCCGCCCATCTCCCGCCGCCGCCTCCCGCAATCCCTTCGTCCGTCGGTCAGCGGCCGCGCTTCATGCCAAGCCGGGAGTGCCGCGATGCGGTGCCCTCCTCCTCCTCCTCCTCCTCCTCCTACGGTCGCTTATCTCTGCCTCCTCCTCCTCCTGCTCCTGCTCCGCTCCCCGCCGCAACCCGCCGCCTGCCAAGCAAGCCCGGTTCGGCTCCGCTGCGGCAGGCTCATTTCCATAGACCCGCGGCTCTTAAAGGAGACGCGTCCTCCTCCTCCTCCTCTTCCTCTTCTGCCGCCGCAAAACGAGAGGAGGCGATGATAGGGCCTTTCCCCCGCGCGCCTCCACAGCGCCACGCTTCCCCCCAGCGGCGGCAGGGAGAAGCGCAGCGGGGGCTTCTTTTGTGCCTGCCAACCAGCCAGCCAACCAACCCCGGCACCTGTTTCCGAAGCACTGGAGCGGGGAAAAGAACCCAGCCCTCCCGTGCATCTGGTCTCGTGGCCTCCCCACCCGAATCCGTGGCCTGCCTGACCGGAAGGGATCCGAGAAGGGCCAGGCCTCTGCCTACACCCAAGCCTTACCTACAACAGCCACCCCAAACAGTAGCAGCAATGATGATGATGGTAATAACACTATGTAACACAGTTTCTGTTCCTGGATTCTAAATGTTATTTCCTAATTGACTCGATTATTTAAAAAGAAAAACCATGGGAAAAGTTTATTAAACTGCAAAAACTTTGCTTTTGCGGGACATCCTGCAGCACATTTTGCTATAGTTTTGATAGTTTTAGCTGCCACGGCTCGATGCTATAGGATCCTGTGAGTTGTAGTTTGCTGAGGCACTCGTATAGTGGTTCTCAACCTTACTAATGCCAAGACCCCTTAATACAGTTCCTCACGTTGTGGTCACCCCCAACCCATAAAATTATTTTCATTGCCACTTCATAACTATGGGTTGAAGCACTGCGCTGCTGAACTTGCTGACCAAAAGGTCAGCCGTTCGTATCCAGGGAGTGGCGTGAGCTCCCGCTGTAGGCCCCAGCTTCTGCCAACCTAGCAATTCAAAAATAGGTACCACCCCAGCAGGAAGGTAATGGCACTCGCACTCAATGAACCACATGACCTAGGAGATGTCTATGGACAACGCCAGCTCTTCAGCTTAGAAATGGAGATCAGCATCACCCCCCAGAGTTGGACACATCTGGACTTAATGTCAGGGAAAAACCTTTACCTTTACCTACTTCATAACTGTAGTTTTGCTACTGTTATGAATCGCAATGTAAATATCTGATATGCAGGATGTATTTTCATTCACTTGACCAAATTTGTAGTTGCTGGGATTTATAGTTAAAACACAATCAAAGAGCTTTCTGAACTCCACCAACGATGTAATTGAACCAAACTTGGCACATAGAGCTCCCATGACCAACAGAAAATACTCAAAAAGGGTTTGGTGAGCGTTGACCTTGCGTTTGAACTTGTAGTTCACCTATATCCAGAGAGCACTGTGGACTCAAACAATGATGGATCTGGACCAAACTGGGCAAATACTCGATATGCCCAAATGTGAACATTGATGGAGTTTGGGGAAAATAGATTTGAGAGTTGTAGTTGCTGGGATTTATAGTTCTCCCACAACCATAGAGCATTCTGAACCCCACCAATGATAAAATTGGCCAAACTTCTCACACAGAACCCCTATGCCTTGAAGGGACTCACTGGCGTGAGCCTCCCTCCAACCTCACATGCTCTCCCTCACCTGCGGATTACAAGCCTGCTCTCCCCCCTCCCTGCTTGGAGACTCAGAAACAGCCCTCCCCCTGGACTGAGAGGCAGCTGAGAGGTGGGCCAATCACAGCAGAGGAAGGCTTTTGATGAGAGGGTTTGTCCTCTGTTTCCAAGAGGACAGGTGGCCTTCTCTGCTAAAGGGGTTCCTAAGACCATCAGAAATATATATTTTTGGATAGTCTTTGGTGACCCCGCTGAAAGACCCTCGTGACCCCCCCCCGGGGTCCCGACCCCTAGGTTGATAAACACTGCACAAGCACATTGATGCACTATAGCAGGCATGAGCAAACTTGGAAAGGTTTTGAACTTCAACTCCCACAATTCCTAACAACCTCAGGCTTCTTCCTTTCCCCCCTCAGCTGTTAGGAATTGTGGGAGTTGAAGTCCAAAACACCAGGAGGGAGGACCCAAGTTTGCACATGCCTGTCATAGTCTCAACCAATTCAACATAGTTTGTGGCAGCCACAAAAACAAAGTTTCTAGAATATAACAACCACTTTCAAAAGTAAGGACTGCACAATTAAACAGGAAATAACATGTTCAAACCAGGAGCAGATTTTATTTTCAAATGTTGTTACATAGTGTAATGTATTAAATCTTATTTAATGACTGTCTGTAATATTGATGTTGGAAACCGGCCTGAGTCCCTCGAACGGGGGTGAGAAGACCGGTATACAAAACTGCTAAATAAATAAATAAATTACCCACCTCTGCTGATGACGTGAGGCAAGGCACAATATAATAAAAATGTGTATATATATACAGTATATTACATAGATCAGTGGTTCTCAACCTGGGGTCCCCAGATGTTTTTGGCCTTCAACTCCCAGAAATCCTAATAGCTGGGATTTCTGGGAATTGTAGACCAAAAACATCTGGGGACCCCAGGTTAAGAACCACTGACATAGATGAAAACACAAAAATATATAAACATAAACCTGCCCCAAACACAGAAACAAAATTGACGTATAATAGCAATATAGTAGCTGGACCCAGGGCCGTAGCCAGAAAGAAATTTCGGGGAGGGTTGACAATTTTGAGGGGAGGTGTTGAAAATTTTGGGGAGGGTTGAAAATTTTGGGGGGGGGTTGAAACCTGCCTCCTAGCTCACGCTGAAGCAAAGAGCACAGCAGGGGGCAGAGCAACCTTCAATAGCCTGCAGCTCCACCCCTGTCAACCACCTCCACCAAGTCTGGCCTCCTTAATGAGAGCATTCAACACACACACACCCAACTTGGTTGCTTCACTACATCGGCTATTGCTGCAAGTAATGACAGTGTGAATAAATTGTCAATATTTGCTTGAGATAGTGCTTACAGTTCTGAAGGGACTCTTAATTTTTTGCATCTCATAGACTTAGCATGGGGATTTGGTTAACCAGTTAAAATTCATGAGTAAACCAGGTTTTTTTAAAAAAATCTGAAACATTTCGGGGGGGGGTTGAACCCCTAAAACCACCCCCTTGCTACAGGCCTGGCTGGACCATAAGGAAGGCCGAGCGAAGGGAAATAGACCCTTTTGAACTATGGTCCTGGAGGAAAATTCTGAGAGTGCCTTGAACCGCAAGAAGATAAAACCATACTCCAGGAAATAATGCCTGACTGCTCACCGGAGGGAAGGATATTAGAGGCAAAGATGAAGGACTTTGGCCACATAATGAGAAGAGAGGAAAGTCTGGAGAAGATAAGGATGCTACAGAAAATGGAAGGAAAAAGGAAGAGGATCCGATCAAGGGCAAGATGGATGGAATCCTTGAAGTGACGGACTTGACCTTGAAGGAGCTGGAGGTGGTGACGGCTGACAGGGAGCTCTGGCATGGGCTGGTCCATGAGGTCATGAAGAATTGGAAGCAACTGAATGATTAAACAATAACAAAAAAGCAATATAGTAGGAATATTTGTAAGCCGCCCTGAGTCCCCCTCCAGGGGTGAGAAGGGAGGGGTATAAGTACAGTAAATGAATAAATAGCAATATAATGTAAATTGAAACTTCTGATTGAAAATTGACTGGGTCTTCCTGCCAGAAGAGATGTTTTTCAATTGCATTTTAAATTCTGAAAGTTCGTTCAGTTGTCGGAGCTCTTCCAGCAGGTTGTTCCACTGTCTTGGGACAGTCAATGAAAAGGTCCTCTGGATGACGATCACCAGGCAGGTTCTGACTGGTTGGAGCAGAGCCCCCCCCCCCCCCCCCCCCCCCCCCCAGAGGACCTCAGTGTCCTAAACAGTAGATTGTATGGGAGAAGGCAATCCTGTAGATAACCTGGACCCAAACCATGTAAGGCTTTGAAGGTCAAAACTAGCATTTTATACGTTGCCCGGAAACTCATTGGCAACCAGTGGAGTGGCTTTAATTTGGGTGTGATATGCTCACTCCTAGATGTTCCCATAAGCAATCTAGCTGCCATATTTTATTTATTCATTTATTTATTATATTTATATCTCACCTTTCTCAACTCCAAAGGGGAGCAGCCTTACAATTGACAGCAATTCGATGTCATTAACAGACAATAGAGATTAAGTATGTACATTAAAACAAAAATTAAAAAGCAATATAAACATTAAAAACACATTTTTTAAAACACGTAATCCAAGGACATAGTCAAAGGCTGTTCCAGTCATTATTGCACATAATTCTACTTCACTTATTACACACACTACTGACCAAAGGCTTGGTCCCAGAGCCATGATTTTACTTGCTTCCTGAAGATCAGGAGGGAGGGGGCTGCCCTGATTTCACTGGGGAGGGAGTTTCATAGTCGAGGGGCCACCACTGAGAAGGCCCCATCCCTTGTCCCCACCAACCGCACCTGTGAAGGAGGTGGGACCGAGAGCAGGGCCTCCCCAGATGATCTTAATCTCAAAGATGGTTCATAGAAGGAAATACATTCAGACAGATATGTTGAGCCAGAACTGTTTAGGGCCATTTATTTTGAACCAACTGGAGTTTCCGAACTTGGTACAAAGATAGCCCAATGTAAGACATATTGCAGAAGTCCAACCTTGAGGTTAGCAGTGTGTGCACTACCATCTTCAGGTCCTCCAAATCTAGCAAGGGGTGCAGCTGGCGTATCAATCGAAGCAGATAGTAACCACTCCTTGCTGTCACATCTATCTGGGCTGACATTTGGAGAGACTGATCCAGGAGCACTCCCAAGCTGTGGACACCGTCTTTCAGAGGAGTGTAACCCTATCTAGGACTGGTTGACACACCTCCACCCCCAGATTAGGACCCTTGAGGGCAAGTACCCTGTTATGTCTGGATTATCTCCTCCAGGTATTCATTTAGAGGAGACACACTATCCTTAGATGCGAATGTTTTTG